CAACCCACACAATCCCAATCTCCCTATGGCTGTACCCTACCCCAGTGTTCCAACCCACACAATCCCAATCTCCCTATGGCTGTACCCTACCCCAGTGCTCCAAGTCACCAGGATCATTGCGTTCCCCCAACTCTTCCTTTTGCACATTCCTGATTTTCATTGCTCCACAGTACCCTCTGCCATCTCAGCCTTAAGCTGTGGAAATTTTAGTTGAACCTTTTCTAACTCTGTTTGTCTCTCTTCCTCTTCTAGGAAACTCCTTAAAAGCTACTTCTGAGCACACCTTTGGTTACTTGTTTTAATATTATCTCATATGGCCACGGGTCTGATTTAGTTTGTTATTATTGCTTTGGAAAGCTTTATAATACCTTACCGTGCTAAAAGCTCTGTTAAAGGCGGTTTGTAGGTCGGTGTATAACTTTGTCCTTGGCTGTCTGCTTTGGGTTTTTCCTTTTACATCAAAAAGAATAAATTCTGGCAAATCTCATACAATCTACATAAAACATTGTTTTGGTATTGACTTAAGTACAAGTAACCAGAGCTGATAAATGCCATTATCACATGGGTTTGTAAAATATTACATACATTCTATCTCTTCCTACTGCTTATCTAATGATTTAACATACAAAAAATTACTTACTTTCAAGGGTTTTATGCTTTTCCACTTCTTAAAGAAGAAGGGAATTGTTGAAATTATGTTAAGTAACAACATAATCACTACGAAACAAAATACTTCTGCAACGTCTCAGTTATAATTACTCTAAGGTATGAATTTCTCACTTGAGTCATGGTGTTAATTAATATTCTGGCTCTATATAAAGCTGGACAATAGATTGTGCCTTTTATCTTGAGGCTGTTTACAACACAGTAAACTACCAAAATGAAGACAATGTACATTCTTCTTACCATTGGATTTGGCTTTCTCACCATTTCTCCAGTTGCAAGTGAAAGAATGCAAATGCAGACACCTGAAAGAGATGGTGAGGTATGTTCAAGAATCAACTTGAGGGTTTTCGTATGAAAGGAAGCATCTCTAATATTATTCTTTATTTTATAGGTGTGAGAGTATCAAATGATTGTGGTTAACCTGGAAACATTCTTGTTTGTTTTCTTTCTGTTCTCTTTTTAATGTTTTTGATGAAACATTTTGAACTGTGAAAGCTAGAGTTAAGTCAGTATTGAACCATGTTGCAGCTTTGGTATATGATGTGAAAAATAAGACTATCCACAATCACATAAAGTGCTTAATGTACCTGTACATCCAAAGAAAATGTAGTTTCTCAGCACAGTTTCTTGGTTTTGTAATGTGCCCATTGCACATTACACAGTTAGACAGGCCAGAGCACTTCATGGATGCTTTTGACACTGATCCTACTGTTGGAAATTTGGGCTAAATGCCTTGAGGTTAACCACAGATTGACCCCATTCTCTCTGATACTTTTAATCTCAGGACTAGAAACACAGTGGAAATCAGGCAATTTAACCAGAAGAATAGAAATGGTAGCTCATCAGTTACGAGGGCTCGTAGAAAATAGTAAATCCCAGTTAGCCACCAGTTTGGTGTGGGTTTTGATCCTGGTAGCATTCTGATTGCCGTAACAAATGGTTGTTTGTGATAGCTGCCTGGTAGACCATTCCTACCAGCTCTGACAGGCCAACTAACCATTCTCGACATATCTGGTGTTTTAATGTGATTGCTTCCCTAATAGGCAGATTTTAAACAATACCTTTCAACATTAATGTGGAAATTAAGCTTCATTGATGAAGTGTGCTTGATGAAAATTGAGGGATCTCAGCCACAAATGTAATAGCATTTGAAGGATCGTGATGAGGCAAAGTTAATAACTCAATTTCACATGTAGGAGAGCTTTATTAAGATACCAGAAAAAGCTCCCCAAAATGTGAAATTAATGCGATTATTGAACACAAAATTGCAACAATTATTTACAAATAAATTTACTCTTGATTACGTTGGCTCAATGACAGGTAAACACAGTTATAACTTTCTACCAGTTTCAACTGACTTTTCTTTCTGGGATACCACTGTCGCCCTCCCACCCAGATCTCTCTATATCTAGGACATAGGGAGAAAGAAGGATGAGGCCCTGCAACAAGAATTTAGGGAGCTAGGCAGCAGATTAAAAAGCAAGACCTTCAAGGTTATAATCTCTGGATTACTCCCAGTGTGACATGCTAGTGAGTATAGGGACACGTGGATAGAACAGATGCATATGTGGCAGAAGAGTTGGAGCAGGAGGAACAGCTGTAGATTCCTGGATCATTGGCTTCATTTCTGGAGAAGGTCAGATCTGTATGAGTCTGATCAGCTGCACCTGAACTGGAAGGGGAATAACACCCTTGTGGGAGGGTGGTTGATGGGGGTTTAAACTAATTTGGCAGGGGGATAGAACGTGAAGAGGTGGTACAGTCAACCCCTGGCTTCCACACACCCACCATTTTCCTTTTCCCACTCCATGTCAATTCACTGTTCAAATTGCTGTTGGGGGATAAGTGTCCAACACCGTAATTTTTCAGCTCACTTATCTGTTTAATTTGTACGAGGTACGTTCTTCCAATTATGTTTTGGATAGAGGAAAAGGGCATGAAGGCAACAATCTGTTAGAACATAGAACATAGAACTGTACAGCACAGGAACGGGCCCTTCGGCCCACAATGTTGTGCCAAAAATGACACCAAATTAATGAAGGGGTCTGGGCCCGAAACGTCAGCCTTCCTGCTCCTATGATGCTGGTTGGCCTGCTGTGTTCATCCAGCTCTACACCTTGTTATACCAAATTAAACTAATCCCTTCTGCCTGCCCTTGGTCGATATCCCTCCATTCCTTATATATTCATGTGCTTACCTAAAAGTCCCTTAAACATCCCTATCGTATCTGTCCCCACCACCACCCTTGGCAGTGCACTCCAGACTCCTACCACTCTGTGTACAAAGCTTGCCCCTCATATCTCCTTTGAATTTTCCCCCTCTCAGCTTAAATGCATGCCCCTTTCGTACACATTGTTATTACCTTATTGTGGTCGGTGTTACAGGCAGCGCATTCAAATTCACCATTCATTAGAAAGTCTCATTTGTTTCTATGTACAACAAGGTGCAGGGCTGGATGAACACAGCAGGCCAAGCAGCATCATAGGAGCAGAGAGGCTGACGTTTCGGGCCTAGATCCTTCATCAGAAAAGGGGGAGGGGAAGGGGGTTCTGAAATAAATAGGGAGAGAGTGGGAGGTGGATAGAAGAGGGATAGAGGAGAGGATAGGTGGAGAGGAAACAAACAGGTCGAAGAGGCGGGGATGGAGCCAGTAAAGGTGAGTGTAAGTAGGGAGTTAGGAAGGGGATAGGTCAGTCCAGGGAGGACGGACAGGTCAAGGGGGCGGGATGAGGTTGGTCGGTAGGAGATGGAGGTGCGGCTTGAGGTGGGAGGAGGGGATAGGTGGGAGGAAGAACAGGTTAGGGAGGCAGGGACGAGCTGGACTGGTTTTGGGATGCGGTAGGGGGAGGGGAGATTTTGAAACTACTTTGTAAACACTCTAAACAGAGTTAGTTCAGCTGTTTATCTGCAGAGGCCCTCTACAGCGTAAAAGGAATATAATTTGGGAAATAATTGTTCCAATCGCTGTCTAAAGGAAACTTTAATTACATTGAAAATGTTAGCACTGATAGTTTTTAATTTTACCCTTCCTGCCATGGGAAGTGAAGTGAACATGTCATTTAAGTAGATAGTAGGAACTGCAGATGCTGGAGAATCCGAGACAACAAGGTGCAGGGCTGGATGAACACAGCAGCATTTAAGTATTCTGGGTAACCCTCTATGCATTACCACTATTTTAAATATGAGGCTTCCAGCAGTACTGGAATAGTCTGCTTCAGGCAGAGAAGGGACTTATTAATGTTTTATTTCAAGGTTCAATCGTGTCATTTTGACATTTAAATGACTTTACTTGTCATCCATGGCAGTATGCCAGTGAAATCTTATATTGAGAAGTGAAGCCAGAGGTGAAAATGTACAATTTCTTTATCGAATTCCTTGTGGACTGGGTTCCCTTCTTCACTTACAATCATGATGACCTCAGAGACTCTCCCAAATATTTATTTAACTCTAGGAATTGTTTCTACAAGTTCCCTGAGGTTCCCAGAAATACTGCAGATCACTATTGTTGTGACAAGCAGCTGGAGCCTTCAATTAAAATTTCATCGGAAAGACACTGCCTTGATAGTGCAGCAGTCCCTCACTAATACACTGCAGTGTTAGCATTGATCTTTGTGTTTAAATCCTGGAATGGAGCTTGAACGTGGAACTTTTGAATCAGAGACAAGAATATCACCAACTGAACCACACTTGAATCAGTAGACATTGTTTTAGAGGGTTCTAATTTTCCAAAGGGGACGTGAAATATAAAGATAGGGATGTCCTGCTAAAAGTATTCAAGGCATCAGTTAGACCACACCTGGAATAATGCAAACAGATTTGGTGTGCCTTATCTAAGGGAAGGTGGCATTAGAGACAGTCCAGAGAAGGCTCATTAGGTTGATCCCAGGCATGGAAGGATTGCCTTATGAGGAAATGTTGAGCAGATTGGGCCTGTACTCATTGGTGTTTGGAAGAATAGAGGCAACCTTACTGAAACACTCAAGATTCTTAGGGGCTTGACAGGGAAGCGAGATTCTTTCCCCTTGTGAGGCAGTCTATGAGCAGGCAGCTGAATCTCAGCGTAAGGGGTTGCTCAATGTCTTGGATCACAGGGTAATCCAAGCAGTTCTTTTCAGATTCAGTTACACGTAGGTAAGAGCAGACTCAATAATTTGCTTAAATATAAACATTTATTAAGTGATAATTAAAAGGGAAAAGAAAGGAAAGCAAAACTGAAATATGAACCTCTATTAAGTAATAAAACAAGATGCAAAAGGAAGGAAAAGAAAGCAATGAGCCTCACGCCCTGCTGTGCATCAGGGACCCCTCGATCGACAGCTGGTCTGGGGGTTTAGGTTTGTCCCTGGCACTGTTCACAATCCCGGTCTGAGGTAACGTCCACCGACTTGGAATTAAACTTTCATATACAGTGTAACAAACAGCAAGTACAGAAAAAGCCATCTTCCACACTACAGGGATGTTCACAGGACTCATTCAAGGTCATGCGGCTGTCGAATATTATTAAGAATTTTATCCCTGCAGCCCATCCTATACACCCAGTTAGGACAGAGATAAGGAGGAACCTTTTTTCCTTCTGTGGAATTCTTTACAGAATCATAGAAGTCTTAAAGTGTGGAAGGATGCCATTCAGACTATTTTCACTGATATTGGGTCATTCTGTATATTCAAGGCTGAGGTAGATTTTTAATCAGAAAGGGAATCATAGGTTATGGTGAAAAGGCAGGAAAATGGAGTTGAGGATTATCAGGTCACTTACGATTTAATTGAATGGCGCAACAGACCCGATGGGCTGAACGGCCAACTTCTGCACCTACTCATATGGTTTTATGGTCTTACTGAGTTTGAGCAACAACCTGATTTCCATATTTTAACTGAGGCCAAAATGTAAGCCTCTAGAAGTCAGGTTGCAGGGTTAGATAATTTGACCTAGGTGTTGGCTTTTGCAAGTGAGTTAAGAGTTAAAATTGGTGACATAGATTTTGCAACTGTTCAAACGGTAATCCAAAGCAACAATATTCATACTTCAGCTAATAATTGCAAGCAATAATAAAATGAAAATAACAGCTCAGAAATAAAATAGTGTCACATGAAAATAAATCCATGTCTTACTTCTAGGTACCATGGAAACTTCAAATACCTGAAAGCATGGTTACTGGAGGAACAGATTCAAATGGACAACCTCGTTGTGGAGTGACTGATCTAAGTAACTTCAGTTTCTTGCCTGGAATGCCTACTTTTACCAAGAATGATCTCACGTACAGGTATAGATCTTGCTTATATGACATGCCCTATTCATTCATTAACATCCATCAATGTTTAGTCTGAAATGGATGTGCATCAAGCACAAAAGATGCAGCTTATTAAATATATCAACACTAGCTGATTCTGTGTCAGTTCTGCTCAGTGTTATATCGCACATTTGGGTGCAACATGTGACACTGAGTGCTTACAAACTTCACTTGAACAAGATTCTTGTGATCTAGAAATTATGGCTCTGATTTTTATTCCTGGATCAAGAGCACAGGGACAGGGTTTCACTACTTTCGCAAAGCCGCCCGAGAAAACATGCACCAGAAATTCAGAAAGTAATTTTGCACTGACAGGGGTCCTGGGAAGGCCAGCAGCCGAACCCAACGTGAAGGAGGTGGCAGCTTACTGCAGACTGAGCACAGAACAAGACCTGCCTCCATGCCCCAGCACTACACAGCAGTGGAATTAAAAAATGAATAAATTAAAAATATTGGCCTTTATTTCAAAGGGAATGGAGTATAAATGGAGGTCTTGCTTAAATTGTACAAGGCATGGGTTAGAGAACAGCTGGGATACCACAGACAGTTTCAGCTTGATAAGAGTTCAGGAGCAGCACATTCCTGCGAGAATGAAGGATAGGTATGGGCAAGTTACATGAACCCTGGATGACCTGGGATGTTATGACCTTGGTCAGAAAGGAAAAGGAAGTATACGTGAGGCTAGGAGGATGGGAACTGACAAAGCCCTTGAAGTATATAGGAAAATAGGAAAGAACTTAAACAAGGAATTAGAAAGGTTAAAAGGGGTCATGAAATGTCATTGCAAGCGGGATTAAGGAGAATCTGGAGGTTTTTTATACATGTATAAAAAGCAAGTGGATAACTAGGGAAAGGATTTGCCCACACAAGGACAAAGGAGAGAAACTGTGTGGAGCCAGAAGAGGTAGGTGAGGTCCTAAACAAATACCTTGTGTCAGTATTCACCAAAGAGAAGGAATTGGTGGAGGATGATCTCAGGTGAGGGAATGTTGGGTTTCTTAGCCAAGTTGCTATTAAAAAGGAAGAAGTGTTGTCCATCTTAAAAAGTATTAGGGTAGATTAGTCCCCGAGTCCTGATGGAATCCGTCCCAAAATATTGAGGGAGGAAAGAGAATAAATTGCTGAAGCATTGACAGACATCTTTGTATCCTTTTTGGCCACAGATGAGGTCCCAGAGGACTGGAGACTAGCAAATGTTGTCCCATTGTTTAAGAAGGGTAGCAGGGATAATCCTGAAAATTACAGGCCTGTGAGTCTCATGTTGGTGGTATGGAAATTATTGGAAACAATTCTCAGAGACAAAATCCATACGCATTTGGAAGCAAATGGACATATTAGTGAGAGACAGCACGGTTTTGTGTGGGGGAGTTCATGCCTCACAAACTTGATTGAGTTTTTTGAGGAGGTGATGAAGATGCTTGATGCAGGAAAAGCGGTTGATGTTGTTTACATGGGCTTCAGTAAAGCCTTTGACAAGGTCCCTCATGGCAAATTGGTACAAAAGGTGATGTCATATGACATCGGGGTGAGCTGGCAAGATGGATACAGAACTGCCTTAGTTATAGGAGACAGAGGGTAGTGGTGGAAGGATGCTTTTCAGAATGGAGGGTTGTGACTAGTGGTGTTCCACAGGGATCAGTGCTAGGTCTTCTGCTGTTCATGATCTACATAAATGATTGGGAGGAGAACATAGCTGGTCTAATTAGTGAGTTTGCCGATGATACAAAGATTGGTGGAGTTATGGGTAGTTAGGAGGATTGTCAGAGGATACAGCAGGATGTAGGTCAGTTGGAGGCATGGGCAGAAAAATGGCAGGTGGAGTTTAATCTGGACAAATGATGCATTTTGGAAAGTCAAGTACAAGTGGAAATTATACAGTGAATGGCAGAACTCTTAGGAATATTGATGTGCAGAGGGATCTGGACGTGCAGGTCCACAGATCACTGAAGGTGGCAGCACAGGTAGATAAGGTAGTAAAAAAGGCCCATGGCATGCTTGCCTTCATTGGAGGAGACATTGAGTATAAAGATAGGTGAGTTATGCTGCAGCTTTATAGAACTTTAGTTAGGCCACATTTGGAATATTGCATACCGATCTGGCCACCACTCTACCAGAAGGATGTAGATGCTTTGGAGAGGGTACAGAAAAGGTTTACCAGGATGTAGTCTGCTGTGGGGGATTTTATGAAGAAAGATTGGATAGACTGAGTTTGTTTTCACTGGAACGCAGGAGATTGAGGGGGTGACCTGATAGAAGTTTATAACATTGTGAATGGCATGGATAGAGTGTAAAGCATGAGGCTTTTTCCCAGGGTGGAGGGGTCAATTACTGGGAGACACAGGTTCAAGGTGTGAGGCGGGAAGGCTTAAAAAAGATGTGTGAGACACGTTTCTCACACAAAGGGTAGTGAGTCCCTGGAACATGCTGCCAGAGGAGGTGGTGGAAGCAGACATAATAGCAGCATCCAAGGAGCGCCTGGGTGAATACATGAATAGGAAGGGAACAGAGGGATGTAGATCCTGTAAGTGAAGACAGTTTTACGATGGGAGGGCAAAATGTGATGGTGCAGACTTAGAGGGCCAAAGGGGCTGTTCCTGTGCTGTATTGTTCATTGTTCTTTGTCCCTTATCCAAGAGAAGATATACTGGCATTAGAGGCAGCTCAGAAAATGTTCCTTAGGCTAATTCTAGGTATGGAGCGATTGTCTAATGAGGTGAGGCTAAGTAGATTGGGCCTGTACTCATTGGAATATAGAAGAATGAGAAGCAACTTTATTGAAAAATACAAGATTCTTAGGGGATTTGACAGGGTTGATGTGGAACCGTTGCTTTTCCTTGTGAGCGAGTCTAGGACCAGAGGGCACAATCCCAGAGAAAGGTATTGTACATTTAAGATGGAGATGAGGAGGATTTTTTTTAATCTCACAGGGTAGTGAATCTGCAATTCTTCTCCATAGAGGGCTGTTGAGACTCGTGGTTAAGTATATTCAATGTTGAGATAGACAGATTTTTAGTTAGTAAGGAAATCACAGGTTATAGGGCCTTGTGTGAAGCCTTATATAGGCCTCTTAATAATCTATAATTTCAATGGGATCCCTCCTCAACTTTCTAAGCTTCATCGAGTACAGATCCAAGGTCCTCAACCACTCCTTATATGACAAGACCTACATCCCTGGGATCATTCTTGTAAAACCCCCTCTGGACCCTCTCCAACTCCCACAAAAGTACAAAATCTCAAGTTTCCCCACATTCTACTCGATCTGCCACTTCTTTGCCCACTCGTATGTCCAAGTCCTTCTGCAGCCTCCCCGCTTCCTTAACACTACCTGCCCCCCCAACCTATCTTTGTGTCTTCTGCAAATGTAGCAACAATTTCCTCAGTTCCTTTGTCCAGATCATTAATGTACCGTGAATGGTTGTGGTCCCATCAGGGACCCCTACGGACTCCACTAGTCACCAGCTGAAATTCTGAAAAAGACCCCTTTATCCCTACTCTCTGCCTTCTGCCAGTCAGCCAATCCTCTATCCATGCCAGTACCTTGCACCTTACACCATGGGCTCTTATCTTATTTAGCAGCCTCCTGTGTGGCACCTTGTCAAAGGCCTTCTGGAAATCCAAACACATCATGTCCTCCGGCTCTCCTTTGTCTAACTTGCTCGTTACCTTCTCAAAGAATTCTAATCGAATTGTCAGGCATGACCTTCCCCTTGACAAAACCGTGCTGTTTCTGCCCTGTTTTACCATGTACCTCCAAGTAGTTTGTAATCTCATCCTTACTAATGGATTTGAAAATCTTACCAAATGATTGGTCGATAATTTCCTCTCTTTTGCTTCCCTCCCCTCTAGTTAGTAAGGCCATAGCTGCAGCCAGGGTTACGTGATTTGCCAGGACTCCTGTCTCAGTGGAACAGCTCCCTCCTTCCCCAGTCCTGGTGCCAATGTTCCATGAACTTGAACCCGTTTCTCCCACACCAATCTCTGAGCCATGCGTTTACCTCTTTAATCTTGTTGGCTTTTGGCACAGGTAGTATTCCAGAGATTACTACCTTTTTGGTTCTGCTTTTTTAAAAATGTAGCTCCTACCTCATTAGGGCCTCTTTTCTCTTTCTACCTATATTGTTGGCTCCTCTGTGGATCGTGACACCTGGATCTTTCCCTTCCCACTCCCAGCTCCTCTGCAGCCAAGCTCATGAGCCTGAGCACCAGGCAGTCAGTACAGCCTTTGGGATTCTCTCCTAGCCACAGCAAACAGTGTCTATTCCCCTGTCTATACTATCCCCCAATTATAACTATATTTCTCTTTTCTCCCCCCTCTTCAATGGCTCCCTGTACCACGGTGCTATGGTCAGTTTGCTCATTCTCCCCATTGCCCCTGCTCTCGTCCACAGAGGGAATCAAGAATCTTCAGCCTGGGGGTGTTTAAGGGCTGAGGCTCCTTTAGCACTACCTCCTGGTTCCCTTTCCCTGCCGGACTCATAGTCACACCCTCCTGTCCCTGAACATTGACTGAAATCGGGGTCGTTAATCTAATGGGTGTGACTGCCTCCTGGAACACAGCGTCCAGGTAACTCTCCTCCTCCCTGATGTGTCTTAGTGTTCAAATCTCAGATTCCAGCTTATCCACAGAGCCAGAGTTCTTCAAGCAACCAACACTTGCTACAGAGATAATACAGTGTGGAGCTGGAGGAATGCAGCAGGCCAGGCAGCATTAGAGGAGCAGGAAAGCTGACGTTTTGGGTTGGGACCCTTCTTTACTTGCTACAGATGTGGTCAGTCTGAACACAATGGGGTCCACCAGCTCCCACAATCATGTGTTTACAACATATCACCTGGCCTGGCATCTGCCAGACCTTCATCCAGTCACTTAAACTATCTATATCCCTCTGCAAACTTTCAGAGTCTTCTGCTCACATTGCTCTACCACCCATCTTAGTGTCATCCAAAACTTTGACACACTACACATGGTCCCCAACTCCAAATCATCTATGTAAATATAAATAATTGTGGTTCCAGCACTGATCCCTGAGGCACACAACTAATCACTGTTCGCCAACCAGAAAAGTACTCATTTATCCCCACTCTTTGCTTCCTGTTAGTTAACCAATCCTCGATCCATGCTAATATATTACCCATAATGCTGTGCACCTTTATCTTAAGCAGCAGCCTTTTGTGCGGCACCTTGTCGAATGCCTTTTGGAAATTCAGATACACCACATCTACTGGATCCCCGTTGTCCACTGCGCTTACTATGTCTTTGTAGAATTCCAGCAAATTAGTCAAGCATGACCTGCCTCTCTTGAACCCATGGTGTGTCTGCCCAATGGGGCAATTTCTATCTCGATGTCTTACTATTTCTTCCTTGATGATAGATTTAAGCATTTTCTCCAGTACAAAAGTTAAGCTAACCAGCCTAAAATTCCCCATCTTTTGTCCACCTCCTTTTTTGAACAGTGGTGTCACATTGGCTGTTTTCCAATCTGCTGGAACTGCCCCAGAGTCCAGCGAATTTTGGAAAATTACCACAAGTACATTTGCTTTTACTCCCGCCATCTCTTTCAGTACCCTGGGAGGCATTCCATCGGGGCCAGGAGACTTGTCTACCTTTAGCACCATTAGCTTGCCCAACACTACCTCTTTCCTGATAATGATCGTGTCACCTATTTAAATCACTTTGTCATCAATTACTAGCAAGTTATTTGTGCCCTCCATTGTGAAGACTGACACATAAACGTAAGGTCCTGGGGAGTGTTGCTGATCTAGAGACCTTGCAGTGCTGGCTCATAGTTCATTGAAAGTGGAGTCGCAGGTAGACAGGGTAGTGAAGAAGGTGTTTGGTATGCTTGTCTTTATTGGTCAGTGCACTGAGTTGGGAGATCATCTTGCTGCTGTACAGGACATTGGTTAGGCCACTTTTGGAATACTGCATGCAGTTCCGCTCTGCAGTCCCTGCTTTAGGAAGGATGTTGTGAAACTTGAAAGGGTTCAGAAAAGATTTACAAGGATGTTGCTGGGGTTGGAGGGTTTGAGCTACAGGGAGAGGCTGAATAGGCTGGGGCTATTTTCCCTGGAGCGCGGGAGGCTGAGGGGTTACCTCATAGAGGTTTATAAAGTCATGTGGGGCATGGATAGGGTGAAGAGCCAAGGTTTCTTCCCTGGGGCGGGAGAGTCCAAAACTAGAGGTCATAGGTTTAAGGTGGGAGAGGAAAGATTTAAAAGGGACCTAAGGGGCAGCATTTTCATGCAGAGGGTGGTGCCTGTATGCAATAAGATGCCAGAGGAAGTGGTGGAGGCTGGTACAATTACAACATGTAAAAGGCATTTGGATGGGTATGTGAATAGGAAGGGATTAGAGGGATATGGGCCAAATACTGGCAAATGGGACTAGATTAATTTAAGATATCTGATTGGCATGGACAAGTTAGACCAAAGGGTCTGTTTCTGTGCTGTACAGCTCTACGACTCTATGTCGTAGTGACTGGAGCAGGTGGCATGCCGTACTTTCAGAAGAACAAAGATTGATGTCTGAAACATGCAATCAACTTAACCTTTTCAATATGATTAAACAATAGCGATATATTTGACTTTATCCTTCCACAGAGTACGCCAATATACGAATAAATTGGGAAGGGCCACTGTGGATGAAATTATGAAGCGAGCTTTCCAACATTGGAGTAATGTTACTAACTTATCATTTACAAAGACAGAAACGTTGTCAGATATTGAAATCATCTTTACTATTCAAGGTATGTTCAAATAAAATTGAAACTAACAACTGCAAATGTTGGAACTCTGACATATGTACAGAAAACGCTGGAGTTACTCAGGAGACCAATCAACACCTGTAACCAAATAGATAGGTGTGCTATTAAGTAGTATTGATGATGCTATTGTATAAGGAATTTCAAAGCATGGTTCAATAAGCTATAGCACCTCCACCCCTCTCTTCCAGCACCCCCTGTTTGTTGGCAGGCTGATTGGATACCACAGCAGCAAAGCAACTGCAGTCTGTGTGATCACTCCTGTGCCAATGTTACCTTTAATTTGTCAATTAATGCCCACTTAAGGACCTCCTCCCTCAAACACCAATTTTTCAGAACATCACATAGGACCTGGAGTTCTGATGGCCACTGGACAAGAGGGTGTGACTCCTTTTTTAAATCCGCTGTACCTTCCCAACGCTTCCCTTGAAGCTATGCATCCTGCTAGAAAGGTGCCAGTGTGACCTGGGATTTATCCCTCAGTCTGGGCCTCAATGCTGACTGGCTCCACTGGGACTGGTGTAGTATAAACAGTACTCAACACACCTGATGGTACCTCCAGCACCAGAACAATGCTGGTCATTTGATTGATGGGCTTCTCTTGGAGGCAGGAATTCCAATTGGAATGAGGAAAAAGACCTGCCTCAAATTAATGAACAACTCAACAGTCGTAGGCAGAAACAAACTCTTTCCTGACTTTTACGGCAAGGTGACAGGGGCCCCATGCCAGCAGAAAAAAATTTAGGTCCTGTGTTCAAATCCCAGCTGGAGCTGGTAAATTAAATTTTAGATAATAAAATAAATGTGATGGAAAAATTAGGTTTATCTGATTAGTCAATTGTTTTTACCAGCATCCTTTTGTTTTGTTTCATTCTTCGAACAAGTACAGATCTATTTTCTTCCTTAGCTACAAGTGATCCTTTACTAACATATCTGTTCAATACCTTTTGCTAGACCATGGTGATGGAGCTCCTTTTGATGGACGTGGTGGGGTTCTGGCTCATGCCTTTGGTCCTGGATCAGCCATTGGAGGTGATGCTCATTTTGATGACGCTGAGACCTGGGTAACAGGAAGTAACGGTAAATGTTTTTCATTCTTACTTGAAACACAATGAGCCAAGTTGCTGCAGTTTTGATAATGGTAAACAGCTGCTGCTGGTATTCAAATATCTTAGAGGGTTTTGTTTGAGGCAGCTGAGGGGCACAATATTGTTGATTGCTACAAGAATGGATTTGAAAAGTTAGATAATGAGATAATCATATTGAATGATGACATATTGATGACTACCATGGAATTATGCTTAAGCAACAAATATCCTCAGATTGTATGAGCTGGAAACTTGCATTTGATTACTGTATCAGGAAATTACGTCTGTAACACTTGATTTTCGAGTTGGTCAACTGTCACAGTCTGTTCTCTTGATGGCCAGGCTCTGCAGTGGGATCACATTTCCCAAACATTAACCTTTAATTTGCACATTTCCATGGCTAGTGAATTTAAAGAAAAATGTGTTAACAATGAGCTTGCAGAATTCAGTACAGCAGAAGTATAGATTCGAGCATAGAGCCTGGAGTTCAGGATGCTGTCTTGTGCAGCTTCTGAATTCCTTGTGCAAGCAGGCCCAACCAGTCCCCCTCCACTGACACCCTCATCCGCTTAGCCGAACTCGTCCTCACCCTCAACAACTTCTCTTTCAATTCCTCCC